CCCCGGGTCCCCTGCTAGGTTTTAGTTTATACCTACTCCATCTCCATGTCTGTCCTACTATGATAATATTATACGTTAACGTAAGTGACTATGATTCTTCAATTAAGTTATTGTGTTGTTCTGTTCTTTTAGCACTGCGTCCTACTTTTTTATTCACCTCTTATTATCTTCAGTCTAACTGTAACGTTGTACACAGGTTATGCATCCCAACCATGGCGATGAATACACTATAAAGGAACTAAATCCTGTGCAGTGGACATTCAGTGATATCCCCAACGTGAGTTTTGTACTTATGATTTTGTTTTTGACCCCTTTCTATTTCAGTAATCTGTTACATGTTTTATCATCTTGTCCATCAATGGGCTTGTGTTAGCAATAAATAAAAAAAGAATCAGAATCACTGTAAAATTCTGTGATGTTGGCTAAACTATGAGTACAGTAATAGAATGCATGTAGAAGTTGACACTTATAAAAACATTCCAGGCATTAAAATCTGGAATTCCTATGATCAAAACTGCTAACCGGTGGAATTCATTTTGCAAAGATGATACCAAATACTCTTAGCGACATATTTCGTTTAGTGCCTTCAACTTTTCCATGTTGAGAATGCAGAGGAAATTTTGGTCTTGCTCGCGATAAACCCTTGTTGATAAAGTATCTATGGATTGGGTTGTTCTGATGTAAACGTGGCAGTATGTATCATTGATGTCATCAATGTGTGTCGTTGATTCAGTCAAATAAAATCAGTAACTTAAACATTTCATCCACCCCTACCCACCCTGTGTTTAGATTTTCCAGGTAATCTTTGTTGATTAATAAAATGCTAATGGAATAACAGGAACTGGCCTGATTTGCGTTATAGATCTGTCCCGAAGAATGTTATCGTTTTTATTTATTGTAGACTATTTGCTTATATATGATGTTTGTTTATATTTGCCGCTTTAGATTCTCGTACCTATTGCCAATGGCACAGAGGAGATGGAAGCTCTTATAATCATTGATATTCTACGACGAGCAAATGCAAATGTAGTGGTGGCCTCTGTTGAGGATAAACTAGAAATTGTGGCTTCTCGCAAAGTTAAACTCGAGGCAGATGTGATTCTCGATGAGGCTGCTAAACTTTCATTTGACCTAATAGTTTTGCCGGTAAGTTCTCTGGTCACCTGTTGATTAGTCATCATCCCCCTAAATGAGCACTAACCACATTCTTCATTTATGCAGGGTGGCCTTGGTGGCGCCCAAGCATTTGCAAACTCGGAAAAGCTGGTGAATTTGTTAAAGAAGCAGAGTGAATCAAATAGACCTTATGGAGCAATATGTGCTTCCCCAGCCCTCGTCCTGGAACCCCATGGCTTGCTCAAGGTATTTCTCATACCAGGTTTCTGTTCAATTTAGTCCTTCGAATTACAAGCTTCCCGAAAGTTTAGTCCACGAATCCTCTATTCATGACACTCACTCAATAAAGTGAGCTGGAATAATTTTTCCATCTCTTTTGTTCATTATTTTTACACTCTAAAAACCTCGTCTGAAGGTATTCCCCTAAACCGAAAGCGGTAAACGAGTGTCTCCTCTCGTGGCTTGGACATTTATTGCTTTTAGTCTATAATCGTGGTTCACTTTGATCCAGGGGAAGAAGGCCACATCTTTTCCTGCCTTGTGCGAGAAGCTGTCAGATCGGAGCGAAGCTGAAAACAGGGTGGTGGTTGATGGCAACCTCATAACCAGCAGAGGGCCAGGAACCTCTATCGAGTTCTCTCTCGCAATTGTGGAGAAGCTGTTCGGGCGCCAGAAAGCAATAGAGCTTGCGAAAACAATCCTTTTCATAAGCCCTTAGATCTCAATGTCTGGAGTGTCTAATTTTTCTCTGCTACGTGCATCGTATTGCTTAATGGCTGAAGAAGTTGGGACTCAATGTTTGAATGTGAATCCACTTTGCGGATATGTACGGCGGTTCTGTATAAAAATAAATGAGTTTTGAAGAGTTGAATTTGAATAAAGTAAATCTACGTCCTCTAATTCAACCATTCACCACTGTTTTTAACCTTTTTTTTTGTTTTTTTTGTTTTTTTTGTTTTTAATTTGTTTTGTTTTGCTAGACTTAACAACTTTCTTCTATATGGTCTTAATAATTACGTGCTTGTTTGGCTCCTTGGAGTTGTTGAGCCAGTCTTCGTATTCGAATATTGGTGCAGTCTGGTTGCTATATAACCACTTGAGGTTACGTCGGAACAAAAGAAGATGTTGAAGTCTTTTTGTATGTTGGCTTGGGCAATATGGGGAAGTAGGAATTCTCATGCAACGACCAAATCTTGTTGCTATACCATATAGGTTATTTTAGTAAGAGAGAGAGGAATTAAATAAAGACACATTTGAAATTATTATTTTCACCTAAACAAAGCGAGAAAAAACGCATTTGAAAGAAAAAACACCTGATGATAACCAAAATGTAATGGAGTTTTTGACTAAAAAAACCAAAGGAAGAAAAAATAAATAGAGAATTCATACCCCGATTCGAATCATAGTTCGTAATTCGTTACAGTGTTTTCTCTCATAAAAAATACAAGTAAATCATAAATGATTTTAATCTCATGATTATAATTTATGAACCAAACGTCTCCTTAATAAGTAGATAAGAGCGCTTGAAAAGAGAGTTTGTCTTTTATCTATGTTAAAGTTTTCTCAGGTCGTTTTGATTGTTGGATTATTTTTTTAACATTTAGATTTACAGAAAAAATAATGTTATATGACGCGTTATAAATTTTTAATACAGGTATATATAAATTTAACCGTTAAAAATTTAATCTAACTATAGAGTATTTTTCTAATGGATGTTTTTAAGAAGCCTCTACAAAGGGGCTCCCTAAAATTGGGAAAGGTAGGGGATATAAAAGACGGCATAAGTTAATAGGTGGCGTTTAACCTGCCGTTTTTTTTCTTTCCGTTCCGCCTTCTTTTTCTTCTTTATCTTCCTTTGAACGTGTACCTGCTTGCACGCGTCTTCCCTTGATTGTTGTCATGCGCTGCCAGCTTCTTCTTCGGTTTTTTATTTTTTTTTATTTTATCCATCTCTTGGATTTTTGTTTATTTATTGGTTGCTAAGTGTGTTATTTAGACCTCGTTCATTTTACAGATTTGAGTTTTCAATTTGAGTTGAAATGTGACATTTTTTAAGAGTTTTTTATTATAACAGAAAAAGTTAGATGTTATATTTTCTGAGAGCTTTTTACTGTAGAAACTTAAAACTGAAAACTCGAATCGGTGAAATGAACGAGACCTTAGATGTTCCGCTAATTCGACTTTCTTCAGTAAAATTCTTATTACAAATTTTTCTTCATTTTTAAGAAGATGATAATCTTATTAAATTAGATAATAAATTATGTATCAGTATGAACCGACAACATTCATATATATGATTTAAATTTTTTTTACAAGTGATTTAAAAATTTTAGTGTGTGATTTATATATAAAATGTATCTGTAAAGTATGGTAATTTAGAAAACAAAAATAAAGATTGAAGAGCAAGACATTTAGTTAAGAGTGTTAAAAACTAACTTAAATTTTACTTTTGAAGATAAAAGAAAAAAAAAAGACTAACTTAAAAGGCAAGTTGTTTAAATAGTTACAAAAATATTGTATATTAGATGATGATAAACGCATACATCTATAAATCATTAATGAGAAAGCTTACAAATTAATAGATTAGATTCTTAGGTGTGTTCTTTACTTAACTTAAAGCACGATTATTTTTTTATGTGAGAGAAAAATATTTTAATAAAAAAATAAATTTAAATTTTTATGAGAGAAAATACTGTAACAAAAGAATTTAAATTGAGAAAAGAATAATGTATATATGTTTAAATACCTATAAAGCTTGCCGTGCAGCTATATTTTAGTTGCTGAATGTTTGGTCGTTTGTGAAGGCTTAGGGCCCGTTTAGTTTGTTAATTTGAGTTAATATGTGACTTTATGTGAGAATTTTTTACTGTAGTAAAAAAGTTAGATGTGACTATTTCTGATAGCTTTTTTACTGTAGTAAAATTCAAATTATAAACTCAAATCGGTGAAATAAACGGCCTTAATCTTTGCTCTAAAAAGTGGGTTTACATTAGCACATGTGGAATGTGATTCCTCTTATGTGGTTCAATATGTGAATGATCCAGCTAGTTTGGTTGTTGAAGAGCCTATTTTAAATTTGCCTTCTCGTTAGATTTTAACTGTTATTGGTTGGAGGAATTTTTTTGATTATATTTTCAATATTGTATTGTCGAGATGACTATTGCTTAGGGCTGTTCATGGGTTGGGTTGGTGCGGGGTATGACTTTTTTTTTCCTGCCCCAAAGGGTGCGGGTTGCACATATTTGGCCCCAACGATGTTAAAAAAATTTCACAACCCAACGATGTTCGGGTTGGGTTGGGGCGGTGCGGGGTGGGTTGGGTGGTCGGTTTCAACATTCAAAAAATCAAAGACTTAAAGTTCAATATAATATTCAAACTTCATCATTAAATAGAAATAGCAACCATCTTTATCAGTCCGGCGAGATAGCACCAGAGAAAGTGGGCAAGACGGCGGCTGAGAGGACTGAGCAATGAGGAGATAGTTATGAGGGGGTTCATGGGAGAGGAAGAAGAGGGAAAACTAAAAAGGAATAGGCAAGAAGAGGGGGTTCACGGGAGGGGAGACCGAGTATGAGATTGTGAACCCTGATGTTAACGAGTCTAAGGTAGAACTTGGGCAGTTCGGCTTGGACCGAAAGCTTGGGGGTATGTTGTGCGGGTTGGATTGGGGATTGCGGGTTGTTATGGGCCCAACCCGCAATCCGTCCCAAACACTTCGAGCCAGAGGTATAATGGCTAAAAAATTTAAAAATAATGCTGCGGGTTGTTTTTTTCGGCTTGGGTTGGGGCGGGGTGGATTGGGTTTGCGGGTTGTTTGGGTTTATAAACAGCCCTACTATTGCTTAATAATATGCAGCATTTCATTTTCATAAAAAAATAAATAAAAATTACAGGCGAAAAGAAAAATTCAGTTTTGTAAGGTTAAACTTATAAAACTAATTGATTTAGACAAATTATTCTTTGAGAAACCCTAAGTTTTATATAGTTATAACAATATTGTATATGATGATGATCAACGTATATAGATCTATAAGTATCATTGATAAGATAAATTACAAATTAAAAAATTAGATTCTTAATTATAAGCCAAAAGAGTAGATTCTTAATTAACTTTTGTAAAACATGCAATAACACGCTTATAAAAATATTAAGATCTATTTACATTTTTCTATGTATCGATAAACATATAATTATAAATTGACCAATTCGAATTTATAAGTATAATCGATTATTTGTTGTCGTATTTTCAATGGCAGGACGTCATTTTACTGTGAATTAATGCTTTATCTTTTCATTATCAAAATTTTATACTTTAAAAAATGTAAACACATCAAATATTCAACTTTAATTAATTTAATATGATTAACAATTTTAATCATAATCAATTAAATATCTGTGTACATAGTAAGTTATACTTCTTATATTTTTGTTTTGTTTTGTTTTGTTTTGTTTTTTATTTTTTATTTTATTTTTTATCTTACACCTATGTAACACATTTTTTTTTCCTTATCATGTCCAAGATTTGATACTCACATAAGCATTTATTTATCCTCAAATCACTCTATTTGAAGATATAAGTCTCGTTCATTTCGCGGATTCGAATTTTCAATTTGAGCTGAGATGTTATATTTTCTGAGAGCTTTTCATTGTAGCAGAAAAAGTTAGATGTGACATTTTGTGAGAGCTTTTTACTGTAGAAACCTAAAACTAAAAACTCAAATCGGTGAAATGAACGAGGCCTAAAATTAAAATACTTCTAAAGTTTTGAAATCTTTTGCCCAATGCAGTACCTCCTCTTTTCTATCTTGCCAACCAAGTAAGTGTATTAAATTTAACAAGTAAGTTCAATCCTATCACCTTTATTCCTTTCTCTTTCCTCCTACCAAACAAGTTCTAAGAAGAAAAAAAAAAACACATATAACTATAATATCGTATTTTATGTGACAATAATTACAAATTTAATACTTAAATGAATCACTAACAAAAAGTGTCAATAAAAACTAGTCTTTACACATAAAAAAAGAAATTTTGTCCTTATAAATAAATCCTATCATGATAAATATTTTCAACATGAAAGTTAACAATAAATAAATAAATAAATAAATAAATAAATATAAATATATATATATATTAGTTTCTATTTTTCTTTTCTTCTTTTTCTTTCTTTATCTTTTTTTATTGTATCTTTTAACCTTTAATATTTTTATAGTTTCAAATGTATCTCTATTAAATACTTTTTTTTACTGTTATTTAAATTTTTTTTTTCTAATTAACCTACTAAATTAATTTATTCTCAAATGTGTCTATGTATAAATACATTTTATTTGCGATTCTCATAAATTTCAATATCAATTGTGAAATTTCACACAAATTCTTTTCTCACCCTTTTTTTTTTAATTTTTTCCTTATTGTTGTTTTAAATAGATTGACGCTTAGGAAGCGTATTTATTTGCTTTTTTTTTATTAGTTTAACAATACATAACTATGAGTTGACAGCCCCCTTACCTTTCTTTTTTTCCTTTTCCTTTTTCTTTATCTTTATTCTTTTGTGAACCTTTTTCACATTTTAATTTTAATTTTACTTTTAAAAAATATATTCTTCATTTTATATCTATTAGAGTAATTTGTTCACATATAATTTTATTTTATTTTTAGTTGGTTAAAATAATTTTTTTAAAATATATTTTTACTTAATTTTTTATCGGTTATCTTTACATACATTCATTTTTAAAATAAATTAATTTTTTTTAAATAGTTGTATTTATATAAATCAATTTCTCATTATTCTATAAACAATAAATTTTTTAATTGTATGATAATACATGCTTATAAAATTAGATTTCATTCATTTCATTAATTTGAGTTTAAAATTTGAGTTTTATTACAGTAAAAAATTTTAAAAAATAATCACATTTAACTTATTTACTACAGTAAAAAATACTCATATAAAATTATATCTCAACTCAAATTAAAAATTTAAAGTAACGAACTAAATGGACTTAGGAGACGTTTGGTTCATAGATTAGAACCATGTGATTAGAACTATTTTCGATTTACGTGTATTTTTTATGAGAAAAAATACTATAACAAACTACGAATCATGATTCGAATCGAGAAACGAATCTAAGTACCAAAGATCCTCTTAGGGTTCGTTTGGTTGGAGGATTCAAACCATGTGATTCGAATCATTTTCAATTTACGTGTATTTTTTGTGAGAAAAAATACTGTAGTGAACCACGAATCATGATTCGAATCAGGAAACGAATCCCTCTACCAAACGCCCCCTAATTTACTTAAATGCACCAATTCGGTTGGACGTGCACCTAACACGTTAAAATAATAATAATAATAATAATAATAATAATAATAATAAATAAAACGAAGCAAAAATACCTGTACTGTAACCCAAAAATTTCAGTTCCAACCTAACAAATCTCTCTTCCAAACATACCCTGTTCTGGTTCCGAATTTCAGAATCTCCCCAAAATTTCAGTTCCTTCCGAATTTGGGGATTTTTTTCGGAGCCATCCCTAACGCCGCCGACCAGGTAGCTTCTCAGCTTTGGATTTTCCATTTTGCTTTCGTCAAGTTTTGTTTCTCTGTGAAGATTTCTTTGTTTCTCTGTGAATCTGTAGCATGATTAGACTTTGGAGATTGTTATCTATCTAATTTGTTCCTTTCTTTTTTTCCCCTGGCATTTGTTCTTTGGGACTTGCTTCTTAAAACCTGGATCGGATGGGATTTAAAAAAATAAAAAAATAAAAAAAATGCTCATCATCAACTAGGAAAACAAACGGATGCAGCATTTGAAAAATCCAATTATGCTTGAAGTATTTTGTTGGTCATTTGATAAAAATGGTTACACTCTTAGGACCTGTTTGGCAAATGTATTTAAACCCATCATTTTCATTTTATTATACTGCTTTCCTTTCACAAAGAATTTGAATTTAAAAATTCTCTCGTAAGGTTCCGCCAATAAATCAGCATTACTGACTTTAAACGTGTAAACCAAACGGGTTCTTACTAGTTTGGGTCCAAGTTTTCAGGTATCTGACAGTAGAATATCGTATCAAAAAAATAAAGATTGAGAAATAACTTCTTTATAAAGAAAAATTAGAGGGAAAGATGACTAACAAAATATTAAGAATGAGACGCCATAATTCTAAGCTCTTCTCTATTGATTATATTTTAGTTTTCCAGTTTCATCTTGGACAATTAATATCCTTTGTTCAGACAATGTTAAGGCAGGTTTGGCTCTGAACTTGGAGCTTCAAATTAACGCCAAAAAAAAATAAAAATCTCTCTCTTCCTTGGTCCTCCTACCCTACTTTACTTTTTCTCTCATAAAAACAACTGTCTGAACTCTCTCTCTTTGCAAGAAGCATTTCCTTTTCATGTTTATTTTTTATTGAAATCGAGATAATTAAGAAACCGTAGCTCGTAATTTTCAATCTTTTATTGTTCTGTTTCATTACACAATATCTAGGTAAATTTATTTATTGATGTTTTATTCAATGCAATGCAATTCTTTTGCTAACAATGGCCTATGCAGGAATTTAACTGCATTTGGAAATTTTTGGGATAAGGGCTTAATCTGTTTTATCTGGAGAAAGATATGGTAAGCTGTGGATCAATCTCTGCCCAATTTTTTGTGCCAATAGTATCTTTTATTTTATTTTATTTTTTTCAGTTTTGTTTACATCATTGCATGTGATCATCAGATTTTTTGGGCTCTTTTGTCCCTTCAATCCATTGCAAAATATGGATATTAGTGTGACAGATAATGAGGGTAGAAATAATTCAATGCTTGAAAAAAAAAATGAAGTTTTTACCTATAAAATGATTTTTATTGTAATTTGCAAGTGTAGGTTGTTTGTGTATTGTTCTTTTGTTAGAAAATTTATGCTGACTAAATAAATAAATAAAAACCTTTTTCAGAGGGCAAATTCGAAATATTTGCATTTGCATTTGATATACACAATTGCCTAATTGCCTAATTGTTATGCTAGTTTGATTCTGGATTAATGGCAAAAAACTTGGTGGATGGTCTCCAATGATAACCCAAAGATGGGAAATTGATGGAGTTTTCCCCTATCAAATGGTTTGTGTTGTAATTTGCAGGTATAGGTTGTTTGTGTATGGTTTCTTTGCTAGGAAAAAAAAAAAAGAAAAAAAAAACTTCTTCAAAGTGGCTAATTCGACTTTTGTATTAGATATGCGCATTTGCCAAATGGTTATGATAATTAATTCAAGACTTCAAGTCCTAATATGTTTAGTTTGATTATTGACTGTGGTGCAAACTTGGTTATTATCTCATATGATAAATATGATAACACAAAGATGATTCCAACGACAGGTTTATCACTCAAGCTTTATGGATGAGGAAAGAGTTACTAAAGCTTGTGGTTGTCCTCTGCTGCCTTTGAAAAGCCATATAAAGGGTCCTGCTCCAGTTGGAGATCAAGGTTTTACTTGTATATTTAGAACCTTTATTAAGTGTCTGATAATAAGTATGCTTCAAGATCTCTTATGGATGTTTTGTGTGTGGGAAACTTTTTGTAGATCAAACTGACATTGTCGATGAGGCAATTACATTCTTTCGTGCCAATGTGTTCTTTAGAAACTTCGATATTAAGAGTTCAGCCGATAAGCTCCTTATTTACCTGACATTCTACATTAACGTGGCTTTGAAGAGGCTTGAAGGTTGCAGAACTTTGGCTGAAGGAACCAAGGCAATCATTAACTTGGGCCTCGAAAATGTTCCTGTGCCCGGAGAGTCTGGTTTTCCTTTTCCAGGCCTTTTCCCTCTTCCTCAATCCCAGAAGGAAGCAGGTGAAGCTCTTATTTAGTTGGGTTTGCCTTTAGTATAATTGTTTCTACACTTGCGACAAGTTAAAAATTGCAGTCTAATTTTATAGTCCATTAACTTTTGCTGTTACCTCTTTTTTTATTTCCCTTTCTCTTCTAAGCTGTTACGAATTCCCAAGTTATTTTGAGATATGCAATTATATATTTCCTTGTCACATTTCCACGGTCATTGACTTTGTGGCTTTCTGTATAAAATCCATTTAATAAACTAATCTTGAATCTTCAAACATGGTGTGTTTGACTTTTTATTCTGCATAGCAGATCGTGCCTTTCGAAGGAAAACACGTCCTTAGATATGCAATTTTATATTTTTTTATTTCCCCGTCTCTTTTAAGCTGTTACGAATTCCCAAGTTATTTTGAGATATGCAATCCGTTCACTTCGCTGATTCGAGTTGAGATGTGATTTTATGTGAGAGCTTTTTACTGTAACAAAACTCGAATCGGCGAAATGAACGGGGGATATATTTCCTTGTCACATTTCCACGGTCATTGACTTTGTGGCTTTCTGTATAAAATCCATTTAATAAACTAATCTTGAATCTTCAAACATGGTGTGTTTGACTTTTTATTCTGCATAGAAGATCGTGCCTTTCGAAGGAAAACACGTACTTAGATATGCAATTTTATATTTTTTTATTTCCCCGTCTCTTTTAAGCTGTTACGAATTCCCAAGTTATTTTGAGATATGCAATTATATATTTCCTTGTCATGGTCATTGACTTTGTGGCTTTCTGTATAAAATCCATTTAATGGACTAATCTTGAATCTTCAAACATGGTGTATTTGATTTTTTATCCAGATCGTGCCTTTTGAAGGAAAACACGTCCTTATGGATTGATGATTTTGATTGATAGTTTTACGTAATTCTTACTACGTGCTAGTAATGACCACAGAACAACAAAAACGGATGACCCTTGGTGATATAGCAGCTCCAGAATTCATTGATATTATTGTTAAATTGTTTACAGATTTGCCCTTTCTTGTACAGTCTAATACAACCATTTATGATTTTCTTTTGGCTGATCTTACATACATTTGAATGCAGAACTACTCAGGAATTATCTGAAGCAGATAAGAGAGGAAACCAGTGGTCGATTATTGAGTGTTGCCTATAGACCCAATGGGACTCCGAATAAGTGGTGGTTGGCATTTGCGAAAAGGAAATTTATGAACATCATTGTGCCTTAACTATTTATTGTAAGATGGAACTAGGCACCAGATTGAAACAATAAATCATTTCTGTAAAGATTGATTTTGTCTAGTTGTAAGACTAACACCAAGAATTACTGGTTAGGGAAGGATTATTTGCATAGCTTCAAGAATTACTCTTCTCCTGTCATATTTTTGCTTTTGAATATTTGTATTGGGATCAAATATGGAAAAAGTTGCATTCTCATGTATTGTTTGCAGGATACATAGATAGCAAAGCACCTTCATTGTTTTCTCCTAAATTATGTTTCTTCTCTTTATTCAGCAAATATATATATATATATATATATATTTGTTTCTTCTCATTTTCCTCCTTTAAGGGTCGAAATAGATCAGATGTCCCTTCATCTTCCATTTTAGCTGCATATTAAAAACTGCAAAAGCAATGGTATATTTCTTTTTTCCTCTCATGAAAAAAGTTCCCATTTTGAAAATTGAATATCTCAACTTTGCCTTGTTGAATTTTGTGTTTACCCCCCTAAAATTTTTTTAATTGCAACATTTACATGAATTTTTTTCTAAAAAAAAAAAAAAATCAGTTTTACCCTAAGTTTTAATTCTTTTTAAGTAATCTCATCTCAAACTTAAAATCTCTAATAAGTCAAAGATACAAGGAGATAAATTTGTATGCAGTAGAAATGTCCAAATGAGACCGGTTATAGTTCGTCTGAATAACTGTCCAAATAAGACCGGTAATAGTTAGTCTGAATAACTGAAGAGAGAGAGACCCTCTTACCAAACATAATATATTAAAAAAATGAGGCTTTTACATTAGGCATCCTTATCAAGAGTGCCTGTTATAAATATTGGGTTTGATTAAAACCACTTTAAAATGAAATAAAAAAATAATAATAAAAGCTGATGCATATTTGGTTCAAAACAAGTTTACCCTTCCGTGACACCCACAAAGAAAAAAGTGTTATTAATATGTTCGTTTAATTCGTTGATTCGAGTTTTTAATTCGAGTTGAGATGTAATTTTATGTGAGAGTTTTTTATTGTAGTCAAAAAGTTAGATGCGACTATTTCTGAGAGTTTTTTACTGTAACAAAACTCAAATTTTAAACTCAAATCGGTAAAATAAACGGACTTTAATATACGTTTTCACTGAAGTGGATGAGTGATCCCGTCACTAATTAATTAGCATATAGGGTGCAACCATACATGACCTGATTATAAGTCTTCTCGTGAAACATTCTTATCAGTTATGAGGAGTCGTTTTTAACAATGTTCAGAAGAGAATATGATAACGCTCACGACTCCCAAACTTTTTCACTATCAAAAATACTGTTAAAATGCGAACTACCCACATTTTCCGATCTATCCCCACTCAGCACTATTGTGTTGCTTGTTTCCGGGGAGTTTCCCAAGTCAAACAACATGGACGGAAAAGAAGAAAGAAAAGATGGCATGAAAAAGAATAAAAAGAGGTGGGAATTGGGAAAAAGAAAAAGGAAAATAATGACGTTGACTGATCAAATTACTTTACTTTTGACGTCATAAAAGAACTGTACCACGCCAGTCGATTATTAATCGTTTGTAGTTTTTGCTTTCAGCAGAAGACCAGAGATAGAATTGAAAGGAATCATTTTCACTTGCATCTTGACTCCGACAGATACCGATAGATATCGTATCGTACGAGGAGGACCCTCTACTGCAAATTCCATAGCTGTATTGGTGAGTTTTTTTTTTCTTTTTTTTGAATAATTGAATTGGGATTCCCTTGTTTTCTCTTTGGTTTTGCGGGGTTTTCTTTAAAAAAAATAAAAAAGTAAATTTTGGGTTATCCTTGAAAAATTTAGATATAATTCAGGGTGCTGAGAAATGTAGGATTATTGGGTTTTCATTTTCTGGTTGTTTTTCTTTATTGAGGTTTTTTCCTCTTCTCTCTCTTTTTTCTTTTTCAAGATATGATATGAATTTTGGCTTTTATGCTTATGAGAACCTCAGGTTTAGTACTTGAATCAAGATACTCAAACTATATTCTTCTCGTTTGAAATTAAAATTTTTTGTGAGAGAAAAAACATAGGTAGGTAGAGTTAATGATTTGATTTACATATATAAACAAACGGTCTGGATTTAAGTTTAAGTATACGGCCCTTAATACGACATTTTTTTAGAGACAACCAAATTAATGCCTCGTTTACTTCGCTGATTCGAGTTGAGATGTGATTTTATGTGAGAACTTTTTACTGTAGTAAAAAAGTTAAATGTGATTGTTTGTGAGAGCTTTTTACTGAAGAAAAACTCGAATTCTAAACTCGAATCAGCGAAGTGAACGGGGCCTAAGAGTATATATGTCTTTTTTTTCCCTTGTATTTTCTCATCAATCAAGGAGAAGGTTTAGTGCTTTTTATTTCTATTCATGTTCTTAGTACTTTATATGGAATAAGGTGTTGTAGTAATTATCTGTGTGTGTGTGAGTGTGTGTGTGTGTGTGTATGTTTTCCTTTCCTGCCATTGAATGAAGATTCCCCAAAAAAAAGGACAGACAAAAGCGGTTTCAGGCAATCCCACACCAAATCAACAATGGGCTGTAGAGTTCGAATCCCCTCACTCTAAGTTGAAAGAAGAAAAAAAAAAAAAGAACTATACCCATTATATATATGTGTGTGTTGTGGATTTATGCTGCAATAGCTAGAATGTCATCCTGTTCAAACAATCTTGAAACCCCTTTACTTGGAACACTCTTTTCATGAACTGGAATGCAAAGGTTGTTTATATTCTTATGACCATGTTCATTAAACAGCTCTAACTACTTGTACTAGGTACATGGCTTCTAGTATTAGGCTTGAGTTTGGCAGATATCAGATTGCTTCCCAGTACTAATACGACATTTCCCCCTCTAATATTTGGCATAAATAAGAGGTATTTTAAAACCTTGTATTCCTTGTTGTTCCACTATGTCTCAGCTTTGAGCTATGCTAAACTGAAATATGCTAACCTCTATTTATTGATTAATGTTGTTGCTTTCTTTATCTCTTGTGTTTTTCCTTAAAAAAAAAAAAAGAACTAGATGGTATATCAGTTATAAAAAAGAATTAATCCAATTAGACGCATTACTAGGTCTCTGCTTAGTTCGTTGGCTCGAATTGTGTTGATTTAAACTTTTTTATTTGAACAGAAAAATCCGAACTGTACGGTTTAAACTGTAGTCTGAATTGGCGTTTGGATGTGCAGTTAAAGTTTAAATCTAAACAGGGAATAAAATCCGAATTTGTGTTTGGTAGGTGAAAAAGAAGAGAGAATGGACATCTTTTACCGTTTAAAAATGGTTTGAACTATTGAAATGGATGAGGGAGTTAAATTTTAAGTTTGACAGTTTAACTCAGTTTGAACAGGGATTATAATTCGGATTGTGTGCTTGCCAAACACAATCTTAAACTTGTTTCACAACTCGAACTGAACTGAACTGAACCGAACCAGTGAAACAAACAGGCCATAAATTTCAGTGGATTTTCAGGGTGATATATTTGACTGTTGTACTGCATTTTATTCTGTAACGACTGTTTACAATAAGGAGAACTATATAGTTTAATGTATAATTTTCATTTACCAAAGTTTCATTCTTGTTAGAGGCGGCTATTCATCCATTGCTCTCTTCTTCCTAAAAGGAACAAGCAGCAAAAGAAAAGTTTTTCCGTTTGTGCGATCGTATGTTAATGTTCGGGTTTACTTTGGCAGGGTGCGTAATTAACTGAGTGGTGGTACCACTCAACCGAAGAAAATGGTAATGACTTGTTTCTCTTGCTTCTTCGGAGAGCAGGGTGACTCATCTGCTAGGCGAACTAGGGAAATTGATGGAGGTACACAGCTTAATGTCTCAATTTTATACGAAAAATTCAGAATTCATCTTAAAGAATTCTTGATAGTGTTCGTTTATTTCCTTCAAAGAATAGACAAGGATGAAAATATCGACATTTTTATTGATACTTCCACGGAAATTTCCGTATTTTGGAAGTGCCGATATGGAAATAGGGGTGTAGTATCTTTTCCACATAATATCTTGAAATTTCCATGGATATTTCCATAAATATCGATATTTTCATGGAAATTTCCATTTATGGGTAAAATTTAGTGTTAAATGACCGAATATCGTAAAAATTTTACAGAAATTTCGTAGAAATATTGGCGAATTTTCACATAAATTTCTGCAATTATATATATATATTTTTTATTTTACTTTAAAAAAAATCTAAAAAATATAGCATGTCCAAAATTATATGAGGAACTATTCAAACTCCATGTCTTTGGTATCAATATTGTTTAAACTAAGAATGTGTTTAAAATACCTTCTAACCTCCTAGAAGCTTCTTTTGGTATTGATAATTTATCATTATATATGTATGAAACTATATATGTATGGTATATTAATTATGTTGACTTTTAGCTATTTTACTTAATTTGTGAACGTGTGCTTAGTATTTATGGTATTATGATCACATTGTACCTTACATATTTATCAAACAATTAGTATTTTGATTGAGAGTTTCATCTAATTAAAGTATTATTATCTATTTTAAGGTTTTTAAAGTCCCATATGAAAATAGCATGTTTTAGTATGAATTTTTGTTTTTTACGTCAATTTCCACCGATATCGATATTTCCGTCGATATTTCCATAAAATTTAAGTACCAATATTTCTGTAAATATCGATATTTTCATCCTTGAGAATATTTGCCTTCAGTTTCATGTTGTGGATTTTTGTTTTGGCGTACATTTTCCAAGTACATTCCCTTAATTAGGTTTTTAGGGTATAGTGAGAGTTTGGATTATTCAACTTCGTTATATGCTGACAATATCATACAGTGCTCTCAGTCCTTCAGAATGTCAAACTCTATTCTTATAAAGAATTACGAATTGCCACGGAAAATTTCAGTCCAGCAAATAAAGTCGGTCAGGGAGGTTTTGGTTTTGTCTACAAGGTAAACACACTAAGAAAGTTTGATGACGATTATGTCGGCATTGTGCTTTGCTAATCGAAAACACTGTTTCTTGACTTCCCTTTTCTTTCTCCAAATACTTGTGATTACATAGGCGAAATTAAAGGATGGTACAGTGGCAGCTATAAAGGTGCTGTCAGCCGAGTCAAAACAAGGCGTTCAAGAGTTTTTGACAGAAATCAATGTGATTGCAAATATACAGCATGATAACCTGGTTAAGCTATATGGTTGTTGTGTTGAGGAAAGTCACAGGATTTTGGTCTACGGCTATCTCGAGAACAATAGTCTTGCACAAATTTTTCTTGGTAATTATTGTCTACATTAAGTTTGATTCCCTTGCTTTTCATGTGATGACTTAGTTGCTCAATATTTTTTAGGCGCAGGCCACAGTAGCATCCAATTTGGTTGGCATACGAGGCGTAGAATTTGCATCGATGTGGCGCGTGGCCTGGCTTTCCTACATGAGGAGGTCCAGCCACATATCATTCACAGAGACATCAAAGCCAGCAACGTCCTCTTAGACAAAGATCTGAGGGCAAAAATTTCTGACTTTGGTCTTGCAAAGCTTATCCCCGGCAGTATGACCCATATTAGTACCCGTGTTGCTGGAACAGCGTACGTTTGTGAAACTTCGGCCCTGTTTGTTTCCGTTTTCATTTCCATTTTTTACGTTTTTTGAGACTAAAAAATGAAAACGGAAACATAAAATGCGTTTGGCCTAAAAATTTTTTAAAAACAAAAACAAAATCGTTTTTGTCTTTTGTGAAAAATTAAAAACGAAAAAAAGATGTTTTCATTTTCTCGTTTTCGTTTTCTAAAAACGGATTTCATTTTTTTTTATTTTATTTTCTTCTCTCTCTTTTCTGAAACCGTTTTTGTCTTATATAATGATATTTATTTAATATATTTAATAATATTATTTATTTAATATATTTAATAATATTAT